AATGCGTTGCATGCTCTACAAACGTTTCCTCTCGTGTATCATTCGATATAATCTCACCGCTTAAAATTAATTTCTAATTAAAAGTAATTTTACCGGATATGTAATATGTTATCTGTACGTGTATCCATGTTCAACATCTGTTTGTTTCCTCTTGTGCAAATTTAAAGGTACGAAAAAAAAAACAGCTGTTAAAAGCATGCGCGTAAATGCACGCTTTTGACGCAGTTTTTATGTGAAAAGTACCAAACGCCAGTTTTATCTACTCCGTGCTCAAGGCACTTACATTTCAAAAGGTAGTCGTTTATTAAGTAGATTAAACTTTACATTAGAATCCCACGAATTACCGTCACGGCGGAGGAAGCACATTTTTCCCTTTAGAAAACTTTGAAACTCCATTTCTCATTTTTGACGTGGAAGCGTTTGGCTCCTTTCACATAATGGCCGTTCATTTATCCTTACTTCGCGAAGGGGATCCAGCGGTGAAAAACAGCTACTCGATTCGACCGCCTTCGAGAGAGAGAACGATCATAAAGTGGACCTTTGGTGCTGCGGAGAAAAGAAGAGGGGAAAAACACGAAGAACATACGAGAAAAGGACGGGGAGAAAAGATAGAAAGGGAAAAAGCGGGAGAGAAAGAGACGGGTAAGGACAAAGAGTGGAAGAGGGAAGAGGCAAGCCGGGGAGAGTCACGATGTAGTTTAACCCGACGACAACCACAACCGCGGCATTACATATAATACCTGTCTGACAAGCTACCTTACCCGTGTTGTATCGGCCAAGTGTGTACGTAATGTACGTATGTATGCGTGCGCGCGCACGTGTGTGTGTGTATGTGTGTTTAATACTGGCCTGTGTGTGCGAAACACGCGCTTTTGTGTGCAGGCGGAGTTTACCGCACGGCATGCATAAGCGTATGCGGTTGCGTGTGTCCGCGTTGCACGCTCAAGTGTGGTTCGAGAATTCGAGGATTCGGGTAAAACTAATTGCAGACCTGTCCGAAACGGTTGGCAGGATCCTTGCGTATCGCATGCGAACAGACCTTTATCGATTTCCATGGACATAATTATACCTTTAGTAATTATGTGTGTATGTATGTCACATTTTGTACATTGTTTCGTGCACTTTTTTGATGTTACGAAAAGAAGCTTCATGCGACGAAGCGCATTGAGTTCAAAAGTACTCGCTACGTAAAGTATAATGATGAGGGATAATTTTGAGGTATCCTGTATATATACGCGTGCGTTTAAATGTCTCGATATCATAGAATTTATTTATATTCATGAACATGTATTATGCGCAGCCGTCACGTTTTGTCACGAATGTAAACGTTGGTATAATATGACGCGTGGGCGAAGTGTTCGCGTGTATTTATTCGCGTAGCATGTGGCTTTCTTTATATAATTTCCGCAGATCGCTTTAATCGTATTAGATCGAAGAAATCGTCGTTGAAGCATACGACGAATAGAGCTCGGGAGACCTTCCCAAGGGAGATGACCTATTAGTGAAATTGGAATTAATTATGCTCACCTGCGGTAGAATTAATTTATCCGCCGCAGAGAGAGCGTCTCCCGGCACTTTTGTTTTAATTTCATTCTATACGTATAGGTACATCAGTTTTATCTCGCGTGCGAGTCGAGTCGCGGCGCCTTATTGTATCGTTATTATATCGCGGTTCATTATTATACAAGGAATGATAAGAAAGAAAAAGTATTAATAAACTTTCAGACTAGCAGTCGCCGAAGAAGGTGAAAAAAAGTCGATCGAAATGTGCTATCAAGCGTAATCTTTAGTGTACATATTGCAAAGAGCGTGAATGAGGAATAAATGGAGTTCCTCGTTAAAAGCGTTATGTATTTTTAATCAATGGTATACAATTGATTAGCGAGTCAAATTAGTTAACGTTCACAAACTGAAATGGCACGGTAAATTTTTAAATATCTTATTAGTCATCAATCAAATTAAATTTCAATATTCATTACTGGAATTCAGGTAAAAGTTTTACTGAATAAGTTTTAAACGCGTTATTGATTTTCGCGTACATTTCCTACGCTTTCTGATATATCGACGCTAACTAGCACTTGCATAATTTATTTAAAGCGCGTTCTATACTTCATTAAGGCAATAAGTAATAAAGTAAGTGCCACGTAGAATATACGTCCATTAGGGCTTCACGCATACACAGATGTAGTCTTAAATATTTAAATATTTTCTTTATCAACACTCCGCGTTATTACATTATTTCGCGCGCAACACAGCTATAGTGCGTTTCGCATTGGAGCAGCTGGAGAATTAGCGTTTCAGCTTAGCGACGCGTACAAACCGTAAAACAACGGCGAATGTTAAGCTTATGGAACGTATGCTAACAAGCATGGAAGCTTAAACCCCGGATAAATTAATCTGCATTACTTCGCGCAAACGTGATCGTTATCGAGTTACCGCTACTTTGACTGTCGAAATGGTTTTAATAAGCTTGCATACGATCCAATTACGTAGTTTATCCGCGTTTGTTCTAATCACACTCATTACTCGTGAAAATACACCGGCGTGACAATGCAATATTTCAGTGTAACGTTGCGGTAAATTAGTTGGGACAATCGCGCGATCACGTTTCTTTTTAAAATAAAAACTCGGTTTAAAAGAAATTAAATAAAAAAAGTAAATAGAAAATTTCTGAAAGAATATATAAATTGGAATGCACGAATAAAATATGAAGTGTCGCATTCTGTATATATTGCAATTACGATCGCTGATCGATCTCGGCAAACGAAATAATGATGTCGGGATTACAACACGCTTTTATTTACCCGACTACTTTTCCGGCCGGCGGAATATCGGACGGATATTTATAACCCCGAATCGTTCGAGCAGCAACAAGATCGATCGAGTGCTATTCCTATTACATCGGTGCTCTCCGAATGTTTACCCGGGGCAAACGATTGATTGATCATCGGTGCTAGTTATTTTCAGTCGACACGAGACGATACAACTTTTATTCCATCGATAACCGCAACGACGATTATTATTTATTCGCGCGACTATGCGGGACGCCGCATCACAACAACCAGATTGTCATTCGTCAATTGTTATTTGCTAACTGTGGATAATGGAATTAAACCTAGATCAGAGTTTCGATCGTACTTTACAAAAGTAAATCAAATTTCGATGAAAGATTGCTTGAAATTAATCCACAGACAAGAAGTTCCGTGTTATTTTTACTCCTTATTGCTATCAACCGCGAAGACTTCCGCTAGCCTTTTATTTAAATCTTCACAATATCGACTCGTCTCAAATTCATCAAGAGGTACTTTATTCACGTCTCCGTTATTGAACTTCCCATTTAGCCATTTATCCTCTCTATGAAATTTGTCATGTGAATATACACAAGTCGACGTCGATTCACTCACGTTTCGGACGAAAATTAGAAATATCCCGAGCGATGTCTGACGTTCGAGACGTTACATTCAATTTACATTCGTCAGATATTGTACATCACTTGTCATATTGTACATTCAATTACACTCGTCAGATATTGTACGTCACTTGTCATACTGTATATGACAAAATATTGGAAATGACAACAAAGAAATTTATATGAAATGCATAACGATGCAAATGATGTTTAGTTACATAAATTAAATAAAACGTTACATAAATCTAATAATTTATGTAACGTGCGGTCGAATGCACGATGAAATAAATATTTTCTATCCAGTACGGAAAAGTGGCGGCTGTAATCCTTTCTCGCGCAATTATCGTTCGTTATTATATCGCGAGGAAAATCACGATGCAAGCCGGACTCTTGTTTCCTGCGCTATTCCTCGTTTAAACGCGCCGCTAACGGTGAACATCATTTTGTATAGCAACCCTAACGATGCTCGATATTACTTAATATCCCGGGAAAACAAGTGGGCAGACGGACGCGGTAATTTTACGTTGAACGATAGAAGATACGCTCATATAATCTCTTACGACGGTGATTTCCATAATAATAACGCAGACTACTCTGTATGCGGTACCATTAGTGTTATTACTGTTATTCAGCGAATTGCAGAAATTCGATAAATCAATAAGCACCGTGTATGACTTTATCCAAAGAGCCTGGGGCAATAACAGGGTAAATTTGATGGAAGCAAATTTGACAAGCGAGTAACTGGGAATGTGCATGAATCATTAATGGCCTAAATGCAAATTCTTCGTACTTTACGTTTATTGGCGTTAATAGTTAAATCCGTATTCTTCGTATTCTTAACGAATCGATTAAAAATGGATATAGGTTCGTTCGTTAATTTAGCATCCGAAGAAGTTGAGAAAAACAGTCACGTGTATTTCCCCAATCATGTTATTAAAAGAAGAATTAGATAAATGACATTAACTGCACCGAGTCGTAATTTGTGTGTAAAAATACGTTTTTCCGATAAGAAAAAAAGATTTCATTTTTACCGGGCAAAATAAGGTAGATCGACTGGCGAATAATTTAATAAAGAATATCGTTAAATAATTTTAGCTAAATGGAAATATCATTTATGTTATACTCTTTTCAGATATCGAACAGAATTAATTAAATTTTCTGTGTTCGACTGACTTTTGCATGAAAAACATATTATTCGAAATTACATGCAAAATTATCATTTAAAATTAATATTATTCCATTTATCTTTAATTGAGGATTCATTCGCCGCGATGTGACAATTAAATACATTCAAGAAAGACCAACAATATCTCGTGAAAACTAATATAAAACCAATTTGTGTAAAAATACGTTTTGCCGATGAAGAAAAAAAGATCTCGTTTTATCGACCAAATCGGCGAGAGAATTATAATTGTCTATTAAGAGAATATTAAAAATCAATGCTTGCACGTTATCACGTTCTAGGATTATAATTTCGCTATCTAATCCCTCTATAACCAAGAGCTAAAGAGATAACAAGAAGGTCGGAGGTCTAAGGTGGCAGAGTCCGCGAAGGCAAATGGGCAAATTAAGCTGCAACGGAGGTTCTTACCTCCTTCGGTCTCGTGCCAAACGATGCCCTCGAGGGTGACGGAAGTGCCGGGCTCGCAGGGTCCCAAACACTCCGGCTCCGTAATGGTCCCCACGCTGGTCCCAACGCACACGTCGGACATGTCCTGCAACACAAAGTTCGACGAACGGTGAGCCGGCGATGTGTCAGGTGTCATGCGTGCGACATGCAGAGGATCGATGAATATCGCGTATCCCATCAATTTCGCCCGCGCGAAACAAAGCCGCGTGAAATAATCTGCGATGAAGATTATACTATGTACTCTTAAATTTATAAAATACATATTTTTTATATACTTATTAATATACGAATAGTAACTATTTTAACAGCGATTCTCGTGATTAAAAAGTTAGTTCCTTCCTGATGTGTTTATTCTGGGATATGATCGATATCAAAGATTGCTGCTGTATACATCGGCTGATGCAAGCGCAAGAGACATTGCATATTGTTTGTAATTAGATTGAGATAGTCTCGTATGTCCAGGGACTTGTCATTCTAACTACGAAGCGGTACCCGTAGCGCCCGGGGACTCGCATTCTAACTACGACGCGGTCTCCTAAGTCCACACGAGAACGGATCAAGCGCGATAGCACGGCTGAGTGATGAGGATGCTAACTAACGATCCGCTAGATCCGTGGAACGGATCTCGTAGCGAATATATGAAATTAATGTTTAATAAACGTTCGCTGTGCGAGAGAGCATCCGAACGGTTTCCGCGAGACTCGCCCCGTCATGTGTATATCTCATACATTTAATTTCAATTCATCCACTCTTCACAGTTGTGCAACGCGAGGTAAATCCGCGTATATATAGTGTCTCGCGTCGTGAAAATATGCATTTTTCAGTCCATGTACATTTACGCCGTTATTCTGGCTATAGTTGTAATACACAGTGCACGAGCGTTTCGCCGACATGACGTTGCGCGACGATTTCGACGAGGTGTTAACGAGTCATCGTACGGGTATATCTCGGGCTTTTCAAAAATATCGGGTCGGGCTGTCGCGAAATACCGCCGCCCGCTGCTGTGCGCGGCGACGAGAGAGAGTATCGCTTCGCGTTCATTTCGGAAATCGATGTAATCCCGGTCGCTGGATTCGCGCGCGCGCGGAAAATGCATCCCGGACCAGCGCGGCGGGGCGTGCGGCGGCCGAGTGGCCTCGAGACGCGTCGAAAACGCAGCCGAGGATATATAAAAGCAATTGGAGGAGGCCCAATTAACGTCGGTCGTACACTGTCGCGCGCGGCGCGGCGGGTCGCCCGTTCGTTCGCTCTCGCTGTTTATGGAAATATCGGCCGACCCGATATTTCGCCAAACGGACGCGCACGGACGGAAACGCGGTTCCGCCATCGGCACGTTTACGCCGGCTTGCAAATAGAAACGTGACCTGGCAAGAGCGCCGAGGGTTTGATTTTCGCGTAACGTTGCCGCGCGCACCTCTACCGTGTCGCTGGAAATTGACGAACACGTCACTCCCGCGGATATACAGTATACGCGAACGCTATATCGATTCTGATTTACGCCCGCGGGACAGACTGTATTTTACAGGATCCCGGCGGCGTAATAAAATTTCCCTCTGCTCCCTCCCTCGCAAATCGTTTTATCGCAAATATTTTTATCCGCATTAAAAATGTTTCCCTCCTATTTTTACGCGGTATTAAAAAGCATATCGATACGACGTAAAGTAAATACCTATATCTCATTATCGCGATGCAACAGAGCAGATTTATTCAGATATGATGTTTCTCATTGTGCTATATAATTTTTATTACCGTTATTACTATTAATATCGATAAGTACCGCTATTTTATTCACTATTGTTATTTTATTATTATACGTGATACATTTTCATACGTATAGCACCGCACTTAAGCACATAAATATGGCATAATATGGAAACTCAGCTGCGTGAGCCGGTTTGTTGCGGGTTTAAAAGCAATTAGCGAGATGTCTGTTGAATGAATGCGCTCCGCCGGTCGCGCGGTAATTTTCGCGGCTCGATGCAAACAAATTTCCATTTCGGAAAACAAAATCGCCGCGCGGCCGGAGCTTTGAGAGCAATTAGTGATGCCGCGCATAATTAACGCGCTAATTAGCGACGCAATTTTGGGTAATGCGGACGTAACTTTTTCGCATGTCGGAATATCGGCGTCGCCACGCGGCGCGTTGCCGCGGATTTTTCATTTATTCACCCTGCGGGATTTAAATGTCACCGATGTCGCGATATATCCCACCGTTCGATATTAATATCTCCTTTCGCGGAACGGATTTTCAAACGATGCACAAAGCCATATGTCTGCTCGATAGCTCCGTTATCCCCCTGGGGAGAGCATCTCTCAATAACAAAATTCCTCGCAGGCGTAAAATCGAGAGTAGGACACGATTACTTGAATCGTCGATAAAAACAACAGAGTTGCTTATTTTATTTTCGACATTTTATTTGATTTTTTAACGCCATCGAAAGTTATATCGACCTAGGTGCCGCGCGTGAATCGGTCTATATAGATATAGCTCTTCCATATATGTGCCGTATATTAATCCAGACGAATTTATCGGCGTTATCGTTTCGGCGGCGTTTCGCTGTAGAATAAAATTTGCGCCGGAAACGCGTTTACAGCCGGGTTGGCTGAATGCGTCGAAACGCATTAACGTGAATAATCGGGAAGAGTGACAGCATATGCGGATGGATATATATATATATATACAGAATATTCGTGCGATTCGTCGCATCTGTCTTCATCTTTTTGATAAATTCGCCGCTTTTAACAACAGAATGGAGCTGATTTAACTTTACGATTTTTAATGCCGGAACATTTTCGCGAGAGACTTGCAGTAAAATGAGAAATAATAAAATATTTCGTTACATTTCCCTGAAATTGAAATAATTCCCTAAAAATCCTTTAATTTCGGTGAACTAGTAGCTTAAGGCTATTCGTGCCTTCGTATTTTCGTTAAGAAAGAACCGACTCCAAATTGGTCGGGGGATCCATGGTTGAAAGTAAGAGAGGCAATTTCGGAATATTCTACGGCGAAAGGGTAAGGGCGGCAGATAGGTAGGTAGGTAAAAGCACGGAGGGACGAGGACGCGGCCGCCCGGCGTCGGGCCCCGAGATTACAATGGTAGTTTGAAATGCAAATCGCGGAGTTTATGCTTGGTTTCCATAATTACAGAAGCGCGGCGCGCGCGTTACCTCTCATAATGTACAATGTACAGGGACCGACGTAATCGTGGCATTGTTCTGGCGCGAAACTATTTTGCCGTGTAGGGTGACGACGATGACGACGACGACGACAACGACGATGACGATGAGGACGACGACGAATCGGCGATGCGGAAGGACAGCCGTGAAACGCGAGATGCGACAGCTTGCGAAAGGAAGGAAATATATCGAAGCGCGTCACCATCGAGCTTGCACAGACTGTCACGGCAATAAAGAAAAACGACATCGCGTCGTTACTCGACGGATATCAGAGTACGAAGAAAAAAAAACCGCTTACGAAGCTTCAATAATACCGAGATGTCGATATATTTCTTTAGAAAAGTGTCACAGCGACGTTCAACAATAAAATAAAGAGAACGATGAATAAACGTAATCACAGTTTTAGACTAGATTAAAAATCATGCGGAATACTATAAATGCGAATAATCGCATTTAATCACGATGTTACCCTCGATGTAAATGTTAGCGCACGCTTTGTTCGTCAGAATTTCGAATAGTTTTACTTAATCGGATTCCAGGCGTGAATACGACGCTAGCTCATTTCAACAATTTTCGTCTCTGTTCCTCGATGTAATAAAATTCCTGGCTGGTCGTTAATTATTCCGCATTTTTGCTCTAGTACCACGGACCGCATCGAATGGTCCTATACGCGCAGAACGGTTGAACGAGAGAAACGTCCAGAGAGGAACGTTGTCGGGAGACTCATAAAGATCGCGGGACTCATAAAGAACGCTGTGCGAAACAGTCGCGCGGAAAAGCGGGAATAAAACTGTGAGGAGTCTCAAAGGGACCAGCCGGATACACGATACGTATTTTGAAGAGCTCTTGTCAGCGCGCGCGATCGAACGATTCTTTTTAACGTTTCGAGAGCTAAAACCAAACTCTCGCTCGCGCGTATATCTCGAGAAAAGAAAAAGCGCAGTCGGGAATTTCTGGCACACTTTCGAGAACGTCGACGCGTTACACGGCATCGACCGACACGACCGTCGCTTTATGCTCGCCGGCGCCATTATCGCGGTAAAATTGACGGCTAGATGGATAGTATAATAAATTGCAGCGGTGAAAATAATATCGCGCGGGGAGAAACGTTGTCCATTATCGTAGTCACTTCGGTAAAATAGGCGGATAGGTGGGGAAAAGAGTGGAATATAAGTTATCGTGACGGAATATTGAATATAAACATCGAATAAAGGAACTGCCGTTATAAATTGGGAATCATTCACGAGAATAGCATCGTTTCGATCTATCGTGGCGTCCTTTAGATCTACCAGCGGAACATTTCGAAAACGTGCTACTACAATATTTTCCCTACGCTATTATTGTACACTTCTCATTATATAACTGTTTCTTTATTATTTCTTTTGGGTGATCAATCATTCACGATGCAGCGCGTGTAGCTACTGTATTAGACAAAAGTCTGGTATCGAGTATAGCAATCAAGAAAATTGATGTTGGAACTTCTGAAGTGTATGTACGTCAACTCTGCTAAAGATATAACGTACACGGTAAAGTGTTACACGCGTCGACACGAATATGTATGTGTCCATTACATACTACCGATAAAAATGCTCTTCATATTTCCAGCACTCCAATCGATTCATTATAATTTATTTATTTAGACATGAAGATATAAGCTGACAACGCTTGTTCAATTTGCTCATGCATTAACGTCCGTACACAAATGTGTATACGTATCGCCGATAAAAATGCGCTTTATATTTTCTAGCGCGCGCTAATCGCGCTTTCATTACAATAATTTATTTATTTCGAAATGAAGATACAAGCCGGCACGCTTGTTCAACTTGCTCATACATTAACGTCTATTCGCGCGCACGAATTGAGATACCACTTATCTCGATCCGAGTGAAATTTCACCTGTAGTTAATGTCGCGTTTCGTAACAGACTTGGCGCGATCGTAAAATCGAAAGGGGGAGTAA